CGGGTCCCCACAGCTACGCTCGTACTCAAATCCATCCGAAGACATCAGGATCGGTCGATGGTGCGCCCCACGAGGGGGCTCCCACCTCCGTTCGCTTTCACTGCGCGTACGGGTTTGACACCCGAACACTCGCGTAGATGCCGGAACCACCTAGGCACGGAGGCAGACTCAACAGTGTATGCTGCTGAGCTAGATGGAATCCGCATGGCGCTGCATACTGCTGCTGCTAGAACATCAAGCCCCTGCTTGCTTACCATCTTCACTGACAGCCAGGGCTGCCAGGCTGCCATCCAGGCAGTGCAGAACCCACGCCACCCCTCTGGCCAATACATTCTGAAGGCGATATATAGAAGCGTACGGGCCCTAGGGGCACGCGGGAACCCCCGGAGAACATAAAGATACACTGAATCCCTACCCATGTGGGCGTGGCGGGAATGAGGCTGCAGATGAGGCAGCGAAGGAGGCTGCCGCACAAGGTGGTGAGGTTGAATTAAGCTCTGCGGGGCAGCCGGAACAACCAATTATCTGGCTTGCTGCGGTAGCTAAATGGGCTGTTCGCCAACGAACCCAGCAGCGCTGGAAGAAACAGTGGGAGATGGAGAAAGGGGCCAAGCTGACATGGCGGATGATCAAGGCCCGTCAGAAGAATTTAGGCCTATATAAAGGTCTGCCAAAGCCGCACACATTGATCATTATCCAGATGCGGACCATGTGGATCGGTCTGCAACACTTCCTCTTCAAGATCAAGGCCCACGACACGGGCCGGTGCAGCTGCGGAGAGGAGTCCCAGGTCCCTAAGCATGTTCTCCTGCAGTGTTCACTCCATGTAGAACAGTAGAAGCCTGCAGGAAGATGATTGCTAAGCTACACGACGTAGAGGGAATCCAGGGGAAACTATCCGATTACGACGCGCTTGTATCTAACCCGCAGGCGATCTGCTACATCGCCGAATTCATGCATCAAACAGGCCTGCTCAGCCAGTTCCGCCACGCAGAACTGGGGAGCCGATGGAGCAGGACCAGGAACATGGAAGCCTCCTACAAGGCTCTGGAATATATGTGGAAGACGATGGTTAAATGGACCACCACGCAGCTGCCTAGAAAGGGTCTTCCTAGGCGTGGAATCGCGCTACGCTTGGAACGATTACACAGCATGAGGTGGGATAGGTATCACACCAGATGGCGTAGGGGAGACGCGGCCAGGTGGCAGGCTGCTTTAGTTGTATAATCTGCTTTCGATGTGGCTACACGCCAATTTCTTATGTCTTCGCTGCATTTGTGGGCTTTATGGATAGGCGTTCGGATACTAGATTCCTGCTTCATTGGTGAAGCGCCTGCATAGCTAATCACTTCAATAGATAGGCTACATCAGGTTAATAGAATCTTGATTGATTGATTGATTGATTGAATAATCAATCACTATACAGGAAGGCGTCCCTGATCTTAGGCAAATCTACGATATAGCCCAGCTCTGAGGCCGTGATGTACTTCAAGATCTTCTCCGCAATCTCGGGATACAACACGGTCGCGTCCATTTGCTACTTCTCCTTCGTCTGGAAGGACGTGGACATGCGGATGTCCACACGTTCGACCATGGTTGAAGACGTCATCAGTGCGGCGACCACTCGTATTAAGCTGTTCCTGGGCGCATCTAAGGCTCTCTGCCAGTCCTTTTGCCAACTGTCACCCGTTCATCCCTCCTTGTGATCGCGGTGATGACGGTTTGACGTTGATCTACGTGCGCGAGCTGCCCCTCGGCTTTAAAATCTTGACACTGAACGCGATCTGGTTCTAATTCATAAGCGTGATGATGCCATGTTCCCCTTCATACTCTCGGAGCAGAGCTAACCTCGGACAGCATCGCCTTCAAGCATATAGATGACCCCTTGTTCATAATATGACACATCGTCGCGTACGGATTAATCTTTCTTCTTGCGGTAGCTACATGATCACCCCGTGCCCGTATTTTAAAGACACAATTGTAGTTACACAATGTCGGCCTCACCATGTCCTTCAACCGTCCGAGTCGTACGCGGCCTGCCGCTGTTCCGACCACTTACTCATGCGGAATCTACCTGACGGGCAGGCTGTAGTCATGTCTACTAATCACATACCTCAGTCCGTGCTCTTGGCGATGCATGCTATGTGCATGATCAGGTGTGCGACCCTGGGCAGCAGCAGGTAGAATTTGTTGAGCGCCTTCGCGTGGTTGAACGCAGCGTTAGTGTCAGTTGTCTCCAGGAGCTCACCGCCTCGTACATGACATTGATTAACTCCATCTGCAACTAAGAGGCAATGTTCCTGCAGTAGACGTAGTACAAGATCCCATCCACGACAATGGATCTCCTCGAGACGGCGTTGGAATGAGGGCATGGACCGGCATAGCAGGCTGAAGGACAGACAATTGGCAGGAACGGGATACCACAGCAGGCAGGCTTGCGGGTGCATAATAGAGGGGCCTTAAAGGCTTCATACAGGGCGGCAAGGATATACAGGGTGGCAAGGATGGTCAACAAAGGAATAACGAAGCAAAATAAAAGTTGAGAAAAACAAAAACATACAACAGCCGGGATTCGCTGGTGGTCACCCACCCAACTACTAACCGGCCGGCGTGTGGCTTAAGTACGGCTGAGCGGACGGGAAGCCCTGTTCTCCACACCCTATGGTCGTATGTATCTGAACCATGTTCAAATAGACTTATATGGCCCCCGGAAATAGGTGAGCGCTGCTTTAGAGTCGCGCTCGCGCGATGTAGGGTGAGAACGCCGAGTGCTATATAGAAAGGGTGAGAAGTCAGGTGATAATCACCCTGATTCGCGACCGCCACATTGGGTTCCCTCGGCAGAAAGTCATCCCTGGTCCACACGCAGTCATCTTCGACCACCACCACAGCTGTAAACGCGTCGGCGGCCGTGGCCTCATAGTAGTCCGGCGGCAAGTCAGTCCATGACTATGTTCCTAGATGACGCAGATGCAACATATTCTACGCGACGCATACGTGAATACGGAGACGTGCATGGATCCCTTTCGACCATGGGCTTGGCCTTGCTCCCATGCTCGGTCTCAAACAATGAGAATGTACGGGGTCACAAAAAAGCTCAGGAACGTAGACAAGGACTTAGCCTGGGCTGGGTCAACCTCGCGAGCTGGAACGATCTCGAGGAGATGATCGGGGATGAGCCCAAGCACGTGAGCAACATCTCGTTCATGTTGATGAATGAGGGCTTGCGCATGGTCGTGACCGCATACCCGCACATTCCCTTGTTCCTGGATACCATCGAGAACATCGACGCGGACAACCCTGGCTCCGCGGTGGCGATCGTACTCTCGCAGTCGAACGTGTTATGGAAGAGGCCTGTCGAGGAAGAGGTGGTGACGTTAGCATCACCGTCAGGGACGCGTAACCGTCCATGAGGTCACGAACATCACTACTTTTGGTTCAACTCTTAGTACAGGCTCGCTCGGATTGAACTTCCCCTGAGATGTAGGCATCAGGTCGTAGAACTTGCTCGCCCTCACTGGTAGCGGATGGTTGGAGGCGTCAAAGAAGAGGAAGGTGTTAGATGCTCGTGCTATGGGAGGTGAGAGGGGACGCGGCGTTGCGCAGGCTCGATATTCTCGTGGGGTCGTGAGCAAGTCAGAAAGTGCTCGACGGCGCGTGTATGGAGCGGGAATAGAGGGCAGAGATTCTTTGGCTTTCTTCTCGAAACGAGAAACATGTTGCATGCAAAGATGTTTCATATCTTTCAGGCCACTCTCACAGACATCCATGTAGCAGTGACCAAGGTCGTTGGTTGACATAAGCCATGGATTGTCAACGATCCCGTTACCACATCTGGAACCATTTGGAGTTGCTTCATGACGAAGTGTCTGGTTTATCACTCAGCCAGAATCTCAACGAACAACTCGAGGACACTATGATATGATTTTTTTTCGCTGACTATGGTTAGCTCTGTGCTGCGAAGTATCGGCGGAATACGTCCGACTCTCATGTAGTGCAATTACTACGTCCGCGAAGACATGACTCAGGAGCCTGCTGGAGATTTAAAGGGTTGTTCATGTGCCATCCCCGCTGAACCGCTACGGCCAAGCCTGCAATGGCTCTGTCGTTTCACAGCCGCACATTTACCACGAAAGCTCTCGCCATTGCGTACATTTGGGACGTCACATGACCTGTACCGTCGTCGAAGACCAACATCTTCAGTGGCCAAACCTAAAACGTCGCGGAACGGGGCTCGCTACTTCTGTTCGACAGAAAAAAAAAGCTGTCGAAAGAACGAGGAAAAATAAAAGACTGGCCCGAGCCGCGGATCGAACGCGGGACCTCTCGCAGATATGCTTGGGTAATCCCTAAGCGAGAATCATACCACTAGACCACCCGGGCGATGATTGGTGGAGTCGACCTTTTCTTTTAACCTATATGCCAAAGAAAATAGCTTGAAAAAGGAGGCAACGCTGGGCGCAACAAAAGGACAGCATTGGACTCCAAACCAGTGTTAAACCAGACAAACAACCCATATGTGCTACTCCTGCACCAAAATGCACTCTGAAACCTGTAGCACATCGCCACATCCTGTTATGTGGATCGCAACTCAATCGAGGAGTTCTCTACAAGACCCAGTCGACTGAAGCATGCGTTCCCTGTGGCCGTTTTATAGGTTCCTATTTCCCCAGTCGAATAATCAGTCCCCTCAGTGGCTTCTGGATTTAACGATGCGGCCCGGTATGGAGGATTTGAATCCATGAGGGGTTGCATTGATGGTGTGGTATTCAATCGTAGTCAAGTGCACACTTTATGCGCGCAAGTCCTGAACATACATGCATCAAATATATATATTAAGATCCCGACAAGCACAGGACACGCACGACCGTATAAGGGACGTTATTGCACATACTGAGCGTACTCTGACTGCCCAGTCGATCATGGACTTTCGACCAAGGATATATTCTGCTATTTATACGCTCCTCTGACAGCCGTGCGAATGGGAAGTCGTTGCGAAGCTGACCGAGCATCGGCAGAGGACTATGAAGAACAAACAGCGACAAGCCGAGTTCGCTAATCAGCAATATCATTGTCGCACACACTTACTACGCATGGAAGCTACAGATCAAACTTCCCTTGTCTTTTGCTCAAGGATCGAGTGCAGGTCGGCTGGACGAAAACAGGACGAAAACAGGACTGTTCTTTGGCCTCAAGCCTTCGATCAGCGCTATGGACCACATGACGACCTTCACACTCATATTCTAGCTTTATGTTCAATATTACGTCTGCTGCTATGTCTCTGGTACATTTTTGAATTAGGCGAAGTGTATCTCTCCAAGAAAGGTAGGTGGACAAGGTGGAGATGATCGCATTTGGGGTGCTTCATGCGAAACGCTAGTCTCATCACATTCTATATAAAATGCGCCGAAACAGCTCCATGAAGGATTCCGGGACGGCGGATCTAACCATCACTCCGTGAGGACCCCTAATGTAACGGAGTATGTGAATTGGATCCTTTGTCCGCAATCAACGTTCCAAATCCCAACCTGGAAATTCGGGCCCAGCGATCACTTCGCACGCGACTGAAGTTGGAGTGGATCGATTAAAAATGGTCTTTCGTACTGTAATAATTTCCTATAGCCAATTATAGTCTAAGAGGAGACCTCCTCTGCCTTCAAGTACTGCGGTAGAGCTCAGTGCGACCGTGTGCCCACGACCGAAGCCAAGTCATGCGGCCACCACCTCTCTCCTTCGTCTCAGAGCTGCGTCCATCAAACCTAATTGTACGACGAGAACGAGTCTCGGAGAACTGGTTATGTGGATATACAATAATATATTCTACGGATCCAACCTGAATTGGTCGTATGCCAGACGGTTTATCTCGCTGCTTAATTTCTACTCGTTCGAGAGCGTCAGAAGTCCTTTGCAGATGTAACACGACAGCGAAACAAGTGGGTTGTTTGCCTATTACTTTTGCAGCACTATTTGGCTACCCACATATCTTTCCAGATCGGAATGGCCCTCGTCTGTTATCTTCCTCATCGCAGCTTGCCGACCGCGGAGATCTGCCAAGGTGACGGATTGACCACGAAGCGGAGGTTGACGATAATACTGGCCGCCTGATTGGAGATCATCGAATGGCCAAGATTTGACGCGAGGGACCTTGTGAGCGTTATCGCAATCTCGAAGCGCGCAGTAGACATTCAAAACGTTCGGTCCCGCGCACATTGTCTCTCATGATTGTCAGGGACGAAGGCAATGACTGAAAAAGCCACGGCGTTGGTCCAGTCGATCCGCGGCTCTCAACGATCGCTCGAATTCACCAATGACGAACATTTGGAGACGTTTTGGGTTGCAGTGCGACGACACTGGCCTGCAGTGACTTGGGGATTGCTTATGAATCTGGTACGTGAGGACTGGGACATTCGTGGCATTAGGATGATCAGGCTGACCTGACAAGCGACCGTTCTCAAGGGCATTGTAAGCATCTCGGCAATCGTGTTAATAATCCTCTCTGACCTCMCTAGGACGGAAGTATCGTGCGCAGCATAGTGCATAGTCGGACTGGACGTCTTTAAGCGAACCTACGGCTACCAGCATGAAGGAACACACATCATCGCCGCCCCGTGGCTGTCGGCCCTCAACTACGCCACGCTCCTCGGCGCCATCATAGGAGCTCTCCTGTCGGGACTGGCCTACGATCGCTTCGGCCCACGCGTGATGATCACCATCTGCTCAGGCCTCTCCACTGGCTTCATCTTCGTCCAGTACTTCAGCCACACGCCCGCCCAACTGTTCGTTGGCGAGCTGGTGAACGGCTGCATCATCGCCTTCTACCCGATGTGCGCCTCCGCGTACGTCGGCGAGGTCACCACGCTCGTGCTGCGCGGGTTCATCGCTACAATGACCAACCTCACCTTCTCGATTGGTTCGCTCATTGCCTCGGGGATCCTCAAGGGCACAGCGGCCATGGACACCACGTGGTCGTACAAGATCCCCATCGCGGCGCAGTGGGCGCTCCCGACGGTCATGCTGCTTCTGGTCACCTTCGTCCCAGACTCACCGTACTGGCTCTGTAGCAAGGCCGGGACGACGCCGCGACCGTGTCGCTGCGTCGGCTGACCACCGCACCTGGGGCCGAGGTCTACGTGGCTCGCAAACTGGCGCATATCTGGGAGACGTTACGGCTTGAGGAACTTCCAGGGCGACTGAGCGATGTATCGGGAGTGTTGCCGCGGACCGAATCCCCGCCGGCTGGTGACCTGCGTGATGGCGTACAATATGCAGGCGTTCACAGGGAACGTTTTTTTCATCAACTACGCCGTGCATTTCATGGAGATGGCGGGGCTGGACGCCTCGCATGCGTTCTCGATGAACATTGGTCTGACGGCGATCGGGCTGGTCGGGACGTGCCTCTCGTGGTTTCTGGTGTCGTACATCGGCCGTCGGACAATGTATTTGTTCAGCTGTGCGACGTTGATGATCATGCAGCTCGCGATCGGGGTGATCGATCTTGCTCCGCGCCGGACGAGTACGATCTGGGCGCAATGCGGACTTATGCTCGTCTGCAATTTCGTCTACGATCTGACGCTTGCTCCGTTCTGCTACGTGCTGCTGGCGGAAGTCTTTGTTGATGAAACTCCGTGGGCTGACCATCGCTTTAGCCACCGTCACTCGCTACGTCTGGTCAATCGTCTTTGCAGCTGTCATTGCCTACGCCATGAACGAGGACGAGGGGAATTGGAAGGGCAGATTGGAGTTCCTCTTCGCGGGGATGAGTCTGTTGTGTACAATATACTGTTTTCTGTGTCTCCCGGAGACTAGGGGGAGGGCCTTTGAGGTGGCGCAGGGGAGACATGCAGCTGAGTGGCAGGCTGCTTTAGTTGTGATTTCTACATTCTTTTCGATGTTTCTTATGTCTTCGTCTGCATTTGTGGGTTATGGGATAGGCGTTTGGACACTAGATTCCTGCTTCATTTGGCGAAGCGCCTGCATGGCTAGTCGCTTCTATAGACGGGCTCTAACAGGTTAATAGAATCTTGATTGATTGATTGATTGATTGATTGATTGATTGATTGATTGATTGATTGAGGGCCTTTGGGGAGTTGGATATCCTGTTTGAGAGGACGGTTCCAAGTCGAAACTTCCCGCGCTATAAAGTCGGAATCCAGATACATTTGGAATAAGAAGCTAACAAGTAACAACACACTTGCAACAAGTTTACATCTTCCTGAAAACGACAATGGTAAATATCAATGTAGCACAGACCCGAGAACCCCGAGCAGTTTTTGGAACAGCAAACAAGCAAGACAACAACCATTAGTCAAGAGAAATAATACGACAGAGTCCAGGAGGGTAAGCTGAAACACAAGCAGAAAGAACAAGCGGAAAGAACAAGCCGCTACTCAATAATATTGCGGCACTTGCAATTTGAAAATTGGGAATATGAAAGCAGAAGGAAAGAGAAGAGGAAAGGAAAAAACGAAAGAGCCTTGGTCCTCCGGTATAATTGCGAACCCGCAACTCTTCAACTCAGCCCTGGCCTACGCGTCCGACTCAAATCCCTCCCCCGACGAGTCACTAGTGTACGAAGCGTCCGTCATGTTCGACGTGCCCGAAACCTCTGAAACGTCCGAATCATGCGAAGAGTTGGAGGAATCCGAGACTGACGCGTCGGAATCGCTCGGTAAATCCGACGACACCKATGAGTCGATTTCATTCTTTACTCGCGAACTATCCTGGAGTCTGAGGCGCCGCTTCAACACGTCTTTGCGGGCACGGAGCCCMCAAAGCAAGTTCTTAGTCTTGATAATTGACGCTCTAACCCGCTTAAGGTCCCTTTCCTTGAGAAGCTTGCTGGACCCTCGCAGCGTTCGGCCTTTTATCTTCACACAAGAGGACTGCTTGGTGGCCCGAGGAGGTGAATGGACCACGACAGAAACTTCGGTTCGGCGTCCTTTACGAGACAGGGCTTCCGACTCGGCTTTGCGTTCACGCTGACGTTCCCTTTCTCGCTGAACCCGTTCGAGTTCTTCCTGCTTGATAACGGCAAGCAGCCCGCCGCGCCGAGCGATTTCCCTGGACTTTAATCAGCATGTGTACCAGACGATGCGTCGAAGGCAGTCCACTTACATCGTCTTCTTAGGATCAACCCAAGCGCCTCCTCCGTTTGCTTGAAACTTCCTGCGCAAGGAGCACTCGGAAGGGCGCTTGTAATGAATGCAATTCGAGCACGCATAAGAATAAAGTGCTCGATTTTTGTAAATGGGTGCCACCACGCACGACTGCCACACGCCTTTGCTACTGCTGCAGCGTGAACAGGAGTCAGCCTCGGAAAGCTTCTCTCCCCGCTGGTGCAACAGCGCCGCTGATCGTTGATGCGGTTCTGTAACAGGTGCTATGACTGGCCTCCCGCGCGTGTTCGTTGACCAGTCCTCGTTGAAGTCACGGGTTTTATCAAGCAACTTGATTGCACATTTGTCTGCCGCCTTTTCAATAGGGCCCATGAACTCTAACAGTAGTATGTCTGTATCAGTTGACGCGCTTCGGCAGGTCGGATCAGCCGGGAGAACTTACCTTTGCGCGCTTCCTTTAGGGCCGGGCCACGGTTCTTATTAAAAGGCCTGCGCACGGAAGTCATTTTTGTGAAGAAGCAAAAAGGAAGGAAAACGACGAATTCTACGAGTAAAGATGGAATTCGGGGAGAGGAGACGAGAGATAAACGAAGAGTAAGCGAGACAGCAGGGGAGGAGGCCTAAAAGAGTGGCAGATAATGCTTGGGTTGGTAATCAAGAAGTAGATTTCGAGGAGGCAGAAGGGGACTATTTAAGCTTGCGCGAGGAGAATGTGGGCAAAAGATCACGAAGTGTTCTGAAGGATTGAACCTCAGAAACTGAGGGAAGAGGGCCTACTAGCACTCTCATGCTGGTAAGATTGCTCCGTCATATTTGCTTGCGGATGGCGGGAGGCTGGAACCGCGAAAGAAGCCTGATCATTTCTCACATCGTTCGAATTTTGCCCTTTTCGAGAGAATACGGGCTGTCAAAATTACCGCCCCTGCACTCTTCAGTATCGCCGACAATCATTGACGGAGCGTGCTTTGTACCTGCAGGGTGCGTGATCGAGCTTCGAGCCGGGCGAATAGGCGAATGATCAAGCTCCCGATGACACAAGGTCGGAGTCTCGAATTATCATGTCAAACGATTTACCCCTGTTCATTGTATTATTCTCACGACATGCCGCTTGCTGAATTGCCCACTATGGACCCACTGCTCGTTGCTTTTTGCACCCACACCATCCCGGATCTATTCCTTGAACAGGGACCCAGGTGGTTTCACTCGCTACTGACTGTAGCTGCATCTCCAACCGAAGCTCCGATCGGCCCCACTATGCTCAGTGCGAACGTATTATCGAGTCGGCAATTAGGCCTTTGGAGTGCGGACACTGTGAGAGGACAATCCCCACGGCTCTGGCCGATGACAGCAGAATTCAGAAACAAAAGGCCTGTGCAATCTAGCTTGCGTTCCTACGCTTCCGAGTTCTGGAACAGTAATCCGTAGTCACCTTAATGGTGTCCTCGACTGACTCCCTACTGCTGGCTCGAAGCCACATGGGCTGGAATGAGACTCACAGCAATCCCTCTTTGTGCGTCGTTGAGAACGAGCCAAGCGACATCGATTCTGGAAAGATCAGCGAGAGACCCATTTGGCAGCGGAAGTCCAGACGTTCCCCGGACGCTACAGAAGTTGACGTATCTCTTTTCTCTTCGGGAGTGAGCTCCAGCCCCAGTCCCCTGACAAGGACAAGGATCGTGCAAGATGAAAGTACACATAGGATTGCGCGTTAGTGATGCAATTCAACTAGGAAAAGACATTGCACTGAACAGGTACTGTTTGAAGGGTTGATTGTTCGCTGGAAAAACATGTCAAATCTCTAAGCGCTGCAGCAATTGTAGAAGCCAGCTTGCTCCAAGACAAACGACGGTGTGAAAAACCTTTTCCTGCAGGATGCATTCCCTCCTAGTGCTGCACCTCCTGCTCTCCGAAGACCCCACCCCGTTTTGACAGATCTATCATCTGTCCCACGAGATAATGCTGCACAATCCCTGAATCCTCCTTTTTCGATCATTCGCCGGATCTTTTATTGATTCAAGCTGATCTGCAGCAAAACTGTATTTTACCAAGCGCGCACGCGACGCGTTTAAGCGCGTTCCGTCACCTCTCTGGTCATCACCTTCACGATCACCAGACTTCTTCTCGTCATTGGGCCCTTTCCATGGCTGATTCTGCAGTTTCTGATTCAGACTATCGATTCCCAGCCTCATCAATTTCCAAATAAACCTCGAAGAACTCGGCCTGGCCTGATGTTGTTTGCCAACTTGTCTTTGAGGCCAATCGGGTCGAAAGAGATCTTCCGCGGTTGAGGCAGCCGACGAGGCAATGGCCATCGCAGAGCTGTTTGACGGCGATCGGGAGCGACAAGTGTAGCATTCCACAAATTAAGTCGCCGATCACAATGTTGTATGTGCTGGAATTTCCCAAGCCTGGTGGACCGTAGCTGGAGCGGATGGGTCATGAACAAGTTGTGCGCTTTCGTTCTTGGTGACTTGATGACGATTCCTTCCCTGGCATCACTCTGTCGCCGAGGACAGATTTCACGGCTCCGTTGGTACTTGGCAGTCCTTTTCCTTCCTTCCTCTCCTCTCCGTCTTCTTATTCACTCTGAGCATCTGCGTGGAATCTCATTCGCCAATGTTTCTTTGCCCCGTCTCCTGTGTCGTGCCATGCTGCTCCTTGGAATGTCTCCATCGTTATATGGATCCAAGCCCTCTTCGCTTCCAATGTCTCCACGGCGTGTTTGACTCGTGGTGAGCTTCGGCAACCTCTACTCTCATGGATGTGCCTGGTTTCGTTCAGGTTTGCATCCTGCCCACTGAGCCTCTGGGAAATCCTACAAATCTGCGATCAGGCGTTCATCTTGTACTCTTTTTTGTTCGAATCATCACAGGGGCCCACCCTCTCCTCTTCTATAATGCTGTTTGCTAATCTTCGTCTTGGTACAGGGGTTTGCATCCATCGACCCTTCCTTTGCACGAATTCCCGTCGGTGATCCCTAGAACAGGTCTTTCCCACTTCTTGCACTTATCCACACTTCGGTCAATCTTTCCTGTTGATGGTGACGGATGGAATGACTGCAGCTCTCCAGCGTGATCGTGGTCAAGTATGATGGGAGCAGGTGATTCTGTATAAATGCATCCGCCGTACAGTTGAAGCTTACGGGTGAGTAAAATGAATGCTCATAATCAAGACCCAGATCTAACGGCTACCAGTTCCCTCTTAAGGTCGATTAAGCGCTCGAATAGTTGGATCTGTGTCTCTTGGCGGAAGAAAATCTCCCCTCTCATCTCGGTATTCCAGGGATTCTCCTTGTAACACTCCCATTGTTCCCTGCATACCTCCCATTTCATCTCGTTAATTGCTCTGTCGTCACCTCGATATCTCGTTGTGATCAGGTGCAACAATTCTCCCTCTTGGGCGCGCAATGCTATAGCAGACAGGCTCGACAGAATATCTGTATCCGGGAGATCAATGTCATAGAGGTCAACATGGTATGTTCGAAACCCGTCGGCCTTTGTTTGTTCCCACCGATAAGACTGGTCCAAGAGGCCCAGTTTGCGCACATATTCCGGTCGGTCGAAGTGAGGCCGAGCCTTCGGATCCCAGGCTAATCGGAGCAGAAGGTCGATCACATGAGGTGGACGGATAAGGGATCGCAGATCGTCTATAAACATACCCGTGTAGTCATCTTCGAGCGCTTCGTGAAAATCTGGTTCCAATTGAGAGGGATGACTTAAGCCCTCCATGTGCGAAACGTATAGATCGAGAGGAGAAAAACCATGAGGCGTAGCAGACTCCGGCGCCACCTCGATCCAGTCGGCAACAGTTCCCGAGTGGTCAAATATTTTGCTCACCAGGAAGTGCCACACAAAGTCCAGAATCTCAAAAATGTCCAGCTTCTCCTCCAGGGAACGTTGTGAGTTGTCAGCCCATCGATTGTAGACTTTCCTTTCCCACCGTTTGAAATCCCTCTCCGTTTTGTGCTTGGAGACCCGGATCACCCAGGTCAACTCCACGGCGACCCAATGGGCCGTGAGAGCACGGTAAAATCGCTCGTAGGCCCGCTGCTTCTCTTGCAGCGGAAGTTGCGCAAAGGAATCGCAAATACCTTTAGTAGATGATCCGGCGGTTTCTGGAGAGCAGTTCCATGATGTCCCCCAGTCCGCCAGATACGACGAGCGAACGGACTTTTTGCAGTAGAGATCAAACAATACCTTCATTGCATGCCATCTGGTGACGATTTCCGCCACGACCAGCGAAGACGCGAGGAGGTCTCTCGACGGTTCATGAAACGACTTGACCATGTCCGTGTTCGGTCGGCCGGACATTGGGAGCCGCGGCTGTGTAGCGTAGATTTCTGCGCATTCCGCATGGAATTGCATCAGATAAGAGAGCTGGAGGTCGTGTTTGTGATACTCTGAGCGTTGCTATGACGAGTCAATCGTTTACTAGAGACCTGGGTTTTATGAGACTGGAGCCTACAATAATCGACTTCATGATCGTGTGCCGATGACCTGGACGGTCCAGAATACGATACATCTGACGACAGGAACGCCCCAGACGGAGCGCATCGTCGATGTTATCCAATAATTGGAAGATCTGGAGGGTAACCTCCGCTGGAAGACTCTGGAGGCTCATGATTTCGAAATGATCGTTGATTGATGGAATATCAATGCAGACGGAGCCGTTAAGAGCAACACAAAATTGCCGCAGTCTAGAGATAAGATGATAAGGTGAGAAGCGATAAGGCGATAAGTAGAAATCACATGATGCGAGCAGACTCGACGGTTGATCTGATGTTAAATCTGTGACCAATCCATTACCGTGTCTGGGCCATGAAAATGCCTCCTGGTAGTTGCAGTGTCTTGAATGGATGACTACGCATCAGAAGGAAAAAAGCACGCCAGAAGATCGAAAAAGTCATGCCACTGCTGTGACTCGAATTGTGAGACGACACCACAACAGACAATCTTTCAGTTACTGAAGTGCCCCAGGATCAACTCGATCGGCAGCTCATTGGCCAATTGTTGATATTTACGCGTTCTATATTTTATGTTCCCTACATTCATGGCACATACGACCATAGGGTGTGGAAAACAGGGCTTCCCGTCCGCTCAGCCGTACTTAAGCCACACGCCGGCCGGTTAGTAGTTGGGTGGGTGACCACCAGCGAATCCCGGCTGTTGTATGTTTTTTGCTTTCTGGTGTTTTTGATCCATTTAATTAGTCAGCGCCCGCCCTTTGACTCAGCTCACTATGTATGATCATGTCATCAGTAAGCACTAAGCTCTATTTGATGCAGCTAGATTAGGTGCCATTTTGTGATAATACTGCTGTGTCTTCTTATTGCTACTTAAGGGTAAATGACCGTAAATCAGCTTGAGCCGAGTCTTCCTCTTCAGAACGATTCATCCAATCGAAGTTCAAAGAGGGGCGGGGAGGCAGGGAGGCATTGGGTTAGGGCCAAGATTTTGACCCTTTTAGTTTGTCACCCTCTGGGGCCAAAACCCATCGAAACCTTCGCGGAGGGGCTTATCAACCTCTGCCATGATTCTTCTGCATTGTAAGTAAAGGTGACCGTGTCGGCCATATAGCGCGTGTGGCCTTTGATATCTCAGTGGTAGAGATTTGGGGCAGCATCGGTGAGGCTGTCAGCGAGGAGAAGGAACGACTCTGGCTAAACTCATGAATTGAGAACGGCACCGGCCATGAACAACAACGCGTCATCTCACCGCTCCCTACGAAGTGTTGTGTGCTCACTCTTGCTAAGCGATCCTTCGCGAGGTCACCTGCGGCGCCTGTGATGATGACCTTGCTTGCTATTAATAGGATATCTTATGCGGGCTTAAAAAGTTAAAGGCATGAGCACCATCATAAGATACATCATTGTGTATCTAAATAGATTAATGTAAATCAATACTCATAGTCAGGTAATGACTGGAAGACTAATAAGGGTAAAGAGCATGACATAAAGGCTTCTAAGTTGTAATTATTCTGAATACGGGAGTTCATGCAGCTAGGTCAGGCGCTGTCTGAACAAAAGAATGTCGGAAGATTGGCGTCATTGCGATATAAGGGGAATTGTTAGGACAATCAGGGAGGGAAGGGCTGAAAAAGGCTGAGATGCCTCCCTTCCTGACCGGTTGACGTACGCAGCTGCTGCAGCCTTCTGCAGAAAGGTTGCAGCCTGAGGCTGCATACTCACGCATCCTGGCAGTAGTGAGATCACTCAGATTATATATCAGAATTTCCGTTAATGATACAATTATCAATGTTATGTAATTATTATACCATGATTCTCACGGGCGTAAATTGTCGGTGTCGCTCCGGTGCTCCGATGATGGGGACATCGGCAGGCGAGCGGCGCATGTAAGTGGAACGCCCCAAAAATCTACGCAGTTCACCTCAAAGTAATCCAAATTGACCTCATTCAGCAGTCTCCCATCCCTGTAGACTTCCATCCTCAACAAACGATCTCCTTCTTGCTACGAATCGCATGTGATCGTGCCGATGTCGTGGTCGCCTTAAAGAGCCGGAAAGTACCGTGTTATTACTGGGAACCGAAGGGCTGGCACAAAATTAACTTACGGACGAGCAATACGGCCCTGGATGTGACCCTGGAAAAATATTATCTTGTGTAGCACCGTAACGGCGCATACCGATGCGGGACTGGTTATAATAATTTTCTCCTATCTATTATTTTGCATTCTGCCAATCTCATTCCGAAAAGCTACATTTAGGCTTAAAGCAGTCAGTACACCCCACGCGCCCGCTTCGCTGAGCCCCGGTTAGAATTGCTTAAAAACATTCTACTTCCCTGCGCAGCCTTCCTCTCCTCTACGAAACCTGGAAGAGCCCGAAACAATCTTTTCATCTAGCTTTAGTCTACCACTAAGCATTCTAACACCCACGCATCCGTTCTGCAACATCTCATATCCAAAAGGACACTGCTCGCTCAGCGAAGCTTACCAATGCGATGAGCGGCGAACGATAAGTTAAGAGTCGGTGGAAACGGGTCTTTAAGAGGGATTCCGCGAAGGCAAAGGAGCCAAATAATCTTGCAGAACACAAGACTGCCAATGTGCCTGCAAATCCAGCTGGTATGGGAAACTACCAGACGATCCCCGTGACTATTGACGCCTTCTAGGACAGGTCTCCTCCTGTAACAGTGTTAGAGTGTCGACCTCTACGGTCTCGATAGACAAACAGTCAACCACAGACCCTTCCACCTTGATCCCTTTTGCTTCCGAGAAGATATCCCAAACAGTGACGAAGAATGAAATGAATAGGACTACAGGAGTATCTGAAGCAGCTGGTGTGGCCGCCCCGAATCCGATCCAAAAGAAAGGCACAGATATAATAGTCACCGAAACCTCTCCTACTTCTCTCTGGGACGAAGCATATGACTCTCTAAAACAGGAAAGACCTGAGCTTCTGTCCGGATATGAGGATCTCTTGTCCAGAGTGCTCATCAACGGTATTTTTGATTATCGTGAAGCTGCTCCTCAACAGCGCTGACGCTGCAATATAGCCGAGGCAAACTCCCGATCAGTCCCAAATCAGGAAGGAGACGCCATCGATGTCAGAAATCAAATCCCTCAGCACAATGCGGCGGCGCGTCGAGAGAAACTGAAACTGATAGCGGAACTGGGCCTCAAACACATGGAAGACAAGAAAATCAAATTGACAATTCTAGGCCATGTAGTCGATGTCCAGGATGGGGTAGGAGCAACGCTTGTCCAATGCCGAGGACCGGCGGTGCCGAGACGCTCTCCAAGCCACTGATCCTAGCCTTGACAAAGCCCGAATCGAAGAAGACAAGGGTGGTCTTCTCCGAGACTCATACTGCTGGGTGTTGGACCATGTTGATTTTCGGAGATGGAGGGACAGGAGAGGCGGCCAGCTTCTCTGGATCAAGGGAGATCCTGGAAAGGGAAAGACAATGTTGCTCTGCGGGATCATTGATGAGCTAAGATGGCCATGCACGACACAAACATCTCATACTTTTTCTGTCAAGCAACTACCAGTCGCCTCAATAATGCTGCAGCAGTCTTGCGGGGACTCATATATATGCTCGTGCAACAACAACCTGCGTTAATCAGACACATGAGCGACGTCTCCTTTGAGGGTGAGAATGCATGGTTCGCATTACTTCGAGTCTTCACCAATATTCTTGAGGACTCGCATTTGCAAAGCACGTACCTGATCATTGATGCGCTCGACGAATGCACTACAGACTTGAGCCGACTCCTTCATCTTCTTGTCCAGAAGTCAACAGCTTATTCGCACGTTCAGTGGGTTGTGTCTAGCCGCAATTGGCCGAGCATTGAGAACGGCCTCAATGGTACGAATCCAATAGAACTGAATCTTGAGTTAAACGAGCACACTCTGTCGGCTGCTATCAACTCATTTATTCAGCTTAAAGTGAATGAGCTAGCAGATAACAACAAGTACAGCCCTGAAGTAGGGGCTGCCATCCAGCACCATTTGGAGTCAAAGGCAAATGGCACCTTCCTCTGGGTAGCTCTGGTTTGCAAGGAACTCACTACCGTCCCCAAGAGACATGTCCTAAAGAAGTTAAAAGAGTTCCCTGCTGGCCTGGATAAGCTTTATAGACGCATGTGGGAACAAATGAGCGAGTCTGATGATGCTCAACTCTGCAGGTCTCTTCTCGGCGTCATGACGACCGTCTACCGTCCTATCACGTTGGATGAATTAACATCTTGTATCGACTTATCCGAGGATTTCGCAGACGATCAGGAGTCTCTGTCAGAGGTTATAGGCTTTTGTGGTTCTTTCCTGACACTCAGAGGACGTACAATCTCCTTGGTTCATCAGTCAGCTAAGGATTTCCTCCTGCGAGAAGCATTCGATGAGATCTTCCCTAAAGGAGCGGACAACATACACTATTCTATTTTCTCAAAATCACTGCAAGCTATTGCCAGGACACTTCATCGCGACATCTACAGCCTAGTTGCCCCCGGGTATCCAATTGACCAAGTCAAGAAGCCAGACCAGGATCCGCTAGCTGCTACAAGGTACGCGTGTGTCTACTGGGTCGACCACCTAAACGAGTGCTCTCCTAGCAAGAACACAAACGAAGACCTGCAGGAGAGCGGCTCAGTCGGTAGATTCTTGCAGCAAGACTATCTTCACTGGCTTGAAGCTCTTAGCCTGTCAAAAAGCTTAGCAAAGGGGGTAGCTTCGATGCTGAAGCTTGAGCGTTTGCTGAAGGTTTGCTTCATCAACAGTGCGGCGACAGACGTGTTCTAACATGGTTATCTAGCGAACGACCGAGAACTCGCCACTGATTAACAGACTTCGAGATGCACGCCGATTTGTCCTATACTACAAAACAGTAATTGAGAATTACCCACTTCAAGTATACGCTGCAGGACTCATATTTAGCCCAGCCAGCAGCATTACAAGGAAACAATTTAAGAATTCGGAGCCGGCCTGGCTAATCCGAAAACCAACTACGGAAGAGAGTTGGAGTGCATGCCTACAGACACTGGAGGGCCATAGCGATGAGGTCGCGTCTGCTACGTTCTCTCATGATTCCAAGCTGCTCGCCTCGGCATCAGAGGATAACACTATCAAGGTGTGGGATGCCAGCAGCGGCCAGTGCGTCCAAACTCTCGAGGGCCACAGTGGCTCAGTCTACTCAGTCACAATCTCCCATGATTCCATGCTCCTCGCCTCAGCCTCACTAGATAAGACTATTAGGATGTGGGACGTCAGCAACGGCCAATGCATCCAGATACTTGAGGGCCATAGTGGCCCAGTCTACTCAGTCACCTTCTCTGATAACTCGAAGCTCCTCGCCTCAGCATCATTTGATGAGACTGTGAGGGTGTGGGACGCTAGCAACAGCCAATGCGTCCAGACACTCAAAGGCCATAGCACCTCAGTACACTCAGTTGCCTTTTCACATGGCTCCAAACTCGTCGCCTCAGCTTCAGCTGATGGGACCATCAAGGTTTGGGATGCCAGCAATGGTCAATGCCTCCAGACACTTGAGGGCCATAGCGGCTTGGTCCACTCAGTCACCTTCTCACATGATTCCCTGCTGCTTGCCTCAGCCTCAAGCAATAAGACTATCAAGGTGTGGGATGTAAGTAACCGCCGGAGCCTTCAGATGTTTGAAGTTCATAGCAGCTGGGTCCACTCAGTTACCTTCTCGCATGATTCTAAGCTCATCACCTCAGCCTCAGCTGATGGGACTATTAAGCTGTGGGATGCAAGTAACAGCAAATGCCTACAAACACTCAAAGACCATAGCGGCTGGAGCTACTCAATCTTCTCAAATGACTCGAAACTCCTTGCCATAGCCTCATACGATGAGACCATTAGTGTGTGGGATGTCAGCAACAGCCAATGTGTCCAGATACTCGAGGGCCATATCGGTCCAATCAACTCCATCACCTTTTCCTATGATTCAAAACTCCTCGCCTCAGCTTCATATGATGAGACCATCAAGGTGTGGGACATAAGTAACGGCAGATGTCTCCAAACCCTTGATGGTCACAGCATGGCAGTCAGCTCAGTTACCTTCTCCTATGATTCAAAGCTCCTTGCCTCAGCCTCAGGTGATGAGACTGTTAAGGTATGGGATGCCAGCAATGGCCAATGCCTACAGACGCTCAAGGGCCATAGTGGCTGGGTCTATGCAGTCACATTCTCCCATGATTCAAGGCTCCTCACCTCAGCCTCAGATGATGAGACTATTAAAGTATGGGATATTAGCAACGGCCAGTGCCTCCAAACATTTGAGGGCCATGGCAGCTCAGTCCGCTCAGTCATCTTCTCTAATGACTCGAAGCTCCTTGCCTCGGGCTCATACGATAAAACTATCAAAGTGTGGGATGCCAGTAGCGGACAATGCCTAAAGACCCTTAAGATTGACAGAATCGCCTATCTGAAGTCATTCAACATGCCTAACTCTTGCCTTGAGACTTATAATGGTACCATTTATTCTTTGGATTTAGACGCAGGACCGACAGACACCGAGCCAGAAGTAGCGCGCTCTCAAGGATATGGCGTGACTGATCAAACATGGATCACTTGGAACTCGAAGTATCTGCTATGGTTACCACCAGACTACCGGCCACGTACTTTCGCCGTGTCTCAGTCGACAGTATGTCTTGGTTGTACTTCGGGGCGGGTGCTATTATTCACCTTCGATACCCAGAGAGTATCCCATGTGCACAAGCACATGATCCACTTTAGCTGAAGCACATCTTACCGCAATGTTATCTTCACACTCCTGTATTATCATAACTCCTTGCAGAAAGGCAGGGCTGAGAGTGTTAGAGAGATTGTAGGATGATGCCATCGGCACACTATTAGTTTTGGATTTCGAAGCCTTGGGGAATGAGACTTACACAAGGGTCCATAGATGGCGTACCTATCAGGGATTGCTCATCCGTATTCTGTAATGTCACTTGGAAATGGTTCATACAAAACAGATCTGCGGGTCTACACTACCATACATACCCCAACTTGAAGAGGCCATACTCGGAGAGGACCCCCTCAGGGGAATCGCAATACTGTATAGCCGCGGGGACAGCTGTATTACGCCTCATCCACTCGTTTTTCAAGGAGTCGTAAGTGGGCGGAGTACTCCTTCCAAGTGTCATTTTAGGCCTAACCGACTTGTATTGGCCTCCTGCTCTTCCCTTATCGACCGAAAAAAACTTACACCCCCGGGAAACGACCCACCATGTGCTATTCGGCTGCACCCAATACAACGACCTTCGGCAGGCGACGTGGACTAGCAGGGAAGGGCCCCCAAGCCGTAACAGAAGCTTCGATAGAGAAACAGTACGTACAGCGGGCCACTCGGTTCATGCTGAACACCGGCCAGTTGATGTATCTGGCGGAAGCCACTGAGCTGGCATGGCTCGAGCTGATTGCCCCCAGCAGCGAGCGGCTACCGACAGCCCCAGCAGGTGATGGCTGACGAACCGTTATCACATATTATCGCACACTACTAGTCACTCCCGCCGGTATGGCGCTGCCATCCACGGCCCCGACCCGCGCATCTGCGCGGCATTGGTATGCCGGCCCCGTTCGATGGTAGCCCCCTCGAGACCCTCGCAGGCTTGGAAATCTGCGACATTCGAATGAGATGGCGGTTATCTAGGGGGTGGATTGGGCCTTTACGGGCACATAGACAGGCATGAGGGCATCTAGGGGAGCAAGGTAGCCGGCACTCACTGATTTCAGCCCCCGCCGGGATAGATCCACGAGGGAGGCCCGGAAACATGGTAGCGGCACTCACTGATCTTGGCCGGAGCCGAAATGGGGGCATGCATGAGGGAACTTATGAGGGAATCTACAGGGGTTTGGCTCCGCCGGTCTAAGTGCCTCAGCTATATATGTATCCATGACTCCATGTATGCTGGCGGCGTCAGTCTGCAAAGACGGTTATCAGTTAGATAGTCGCTGCTCGCTAGGAATCTCCGGCATGGTTCAGCCCGGTGCCGAAACAGAGTAAATCAATCAATCCATCTATCTATCATGGTATGTGCTGGGCGCAGGGTCATCACAACTGAGGCAGGTTAGGAAGAAACATAACCCTTGGATCCGCCCCAGACCGCAATTTGTTTCTCAGGGGAAGTGCTTCAGGGGAGCGTCACTGTAGGTATTGACCCAGGGTTCCTGGATCGCGACGACTGCGTAGTCACGGAGCCAGGGGTCCTAAAGGAGGGGTGCCATGCTAATATCCAGAATTCTGGACATTGTACTGTAGAACCCGAAGGGTTCAATTGGCTCAGAGATCCACGGTGGTTCTGGCTTCTGTTTCAGCTTTAGTTTCGGCTTTGTCTGGTTCGGTTGCGGCGGCCCTTAGAGGTGTGGAGGGGCTACCGGCTGTAGTCACTGGGGGCCGTGTGCTGGCAGCCCTCTGCGCAAACACTCCTCTCACACGCGCTGAGGCCGCCCCAAGTGCTTCCCGTTTCAGCCTTCTTGTTCGTGAGGTGCCTATTGTAGTCGCAGGTGTCTTCCTCGGAGTTCCTGGGCGGGTCAGAGTCAGATGTTAGCGGGAAGGCCGCGGTCCGGTATGCTGAAGGGGTCAGCGTTTCGGGGTCGAAACGGGGAAGAGAGACACTGCTCGCTGAGGTGGATGCTGAACTGAGTGCGAAACTGGATGCTGGATACGTTGGATGTGCCGGTGTTGGTGACTGACGCCGGGGCCCTGGTCTCGCGAACCGGGGCTGTGGCGGAAGGGGGTTGCTGGACCATGCTAGTTGAAGCATAAACATAAATTTTCACCACAGGGAGCGAATACATTCGCATATAACATTGTATCCGGTCCCAGTAAGTCACGGTTCCATGCTGGTCAACAGGATAGGCACCGTTTGGACCCTTTGCCTTGGAGACTGTCGAGCTATCGAACCTAGCATTACTGCACTCAATTACCAGTGGGCAGAACAAATCCAATGCATGTGCCGACATATCTTGTTATAGAGAGCCCAAATAGAACTCGGTGATGGTCAATGCATGCTACTGGCACCCAAAGAACTCAGGGACGCTTGTGTCCAACCCCAACTCGTCCAGCCAGTTTAAGAAATCCTCACTCGTTTCAAGCGCATCCACGTTCGGTGATGTCCCACTCTGTTCATAGGCATTTAACGACACACCAATCAGATGAGAACTATCCCGGCCTCGATCATCGCTGTTCGGCGCAGGGCGATTGCCTGTGCCGTGTTGTGCGCCAGCCGCCATCTGCCCGCCCGACGGATAATCCAACGTATCATTTAAGAGCCTGGTTATGACCTTGGTGACATCCACGCACGCCTGATGTGCGGCACTAGACGGTTGGTTACCACTTTCGAACCAGGAGACAAGCAGGCTTAGATCACGGATAATTCTGGACCGAGGGATGGAACATGGTAGTGGCACCCTGGACACCGTACAGTGATGGAGCTCAGTTGCAACGACACCTGCTGCTGGAAGAGTATAAAAGAGAAACTAGTCGATCGCGACAGGTTAGGCATTGGACGATAGACACAGATATGGGTTACAGGGGCTTACAATCCATGTGTACTGCTGCCGGATGCTGTCTTCTTGATTGCGGTGCTTCGCGAAGTCCGTGACTGCTGAGACAATCTGCATGGCCGAGTCCAGAAGATCAGTCATGGAGTCGGGCAGCTCGTTGCAACGGATGCGCTCGATCTGAAACAGTGTGTGGAGGTATTCCAGATGGATGACTAGACGTATTATGGCCAGGTGCGGGCTTAAAGCCTTCCAGGAGTGCTTGCTGTAGTGGAACTCACTGGGGACTCTGTCCCACATTTGCTTACACTCTTGATAGGTAGCCCTACAAGCATATTAGCTTTCAGCATACTGAGAGAGAAGTCGTCTACGCTATTCATCCTACTGAAGTTCATTCTGTCTGGAACCAACTGAGCCCCGTTCCAGGGACAGTCCCAACACCTTCTCTCGCAACATTGCTACCATGTATCGCAGCCGGATAACTGTGGCAGGGCGAAGACCGCCATTGAAAGTACCCCATCCATCCAGCGTAAGCTGCCTTATAGTCTTGTCGAGGGAAAGACGATCCCCGACCAGACTATCATCATCGATATCCAATGGTAGTCCCACGTCGCAAAAATGGTAGAGGAGTCGAGGAGGCCTCCCCAGGAAAGTGGCGATATTCTTGTCAGCTCGATATGACGCTGCGAAAACCCTCTTACGCGCCTCTGAGAGGAAAAATGGAACGGAGGACTCAGGAGGATCTGGACGGTGTAGGCCCATGGCATGGATGCAGGAGACTAAGTCCCCAAATTGCGCGTAAATATGATGGCCTATTCTCTGTCAGCCTTGTGCATTACGGGAAGGGACATCCCTCTGGTCCCTGGAATGAATCAGCATTACTTGTCTCTCCCATCATATTCGATGCCAATACGAAGAATGTGTAGTTCAGCCAAACAACCAAGTCATTCACATTGTCATACTGTCGGCAGATTTCAATACATGCATGACTTGCTGCTGCCATCTGCATGGCAAAGGCATCTGCGCTTAGTTCATCCTTGCCATTCAGAGAGAACAATTGAGAGCCACGAGACGACGCACTAGCACCGAGTCCTGCTAGGGCGAATATGAGGCCGACAAATTCCCATCGTAAATTCGCACCCGTGAAGATATGGTAAAACTGGTCTGTTGTCATGTTTGCGTCAACCTTAACCAATTGGGTGGCCGTGCTCTGAGTGATCTGAGATACCAAACCCTCTTGCGGCCACCTCTCCTTGTCCCAGTGACTTCGAAGCAGCTTTAAGGGTGTAAGAATAAGAGGAGCTGGGATGACCGTGAATGGGCTCCGATGGTATTCGTCGGTCACTAAATCTTCATAGAGCCTGAGGGGGCGCAGAAGCTGAATCAGTCGGGGAAATACATGAGTGAAGTCAGCACTCCACGCCTTGTGCAGGGTGGATGCATAGGCAATTTTTGGTGTAGAAAGGCTCAGATGCTGTCGGTCATGGTGAAATGCTGACATAAAGCTGGTGGATCCCAAGTAGGTTGGCTGAGAGGTAGACGTCAGGCCTATTGGGGGCTCAGTTGGCACGATGCCGTCACCACAGCTGGTAGACATGATGAGGGCCTCATCATCGTCATGCGATGGGTTGACAGGAGACCCGTTGCGAGGCGTTTGTGCCTTCTTCCGTGATCGGGTCAAGGGGGCCGGATGATAGTAACACTGGTACGGCTGTCCGTCAGTCCGCGCCTTACTTATCCTTGCCATCCAAATCCAGATCCGAATCGGATCGAATCAGAATCAGAAGGGTGTGTACCTTAGAACTTAAACGCCTAATATCACATCGTCTACATGTTGGTTGTTGATGATCACATCGGACTTTAGACACGCGACACGGTTCGCAGGAGATCGGTTTGCCATTCTTTCGGACCATAACCCTGGAAGTGCTCTCCATGGTGAACAGACTCGGCGGTCTTGACCATAGCCAAATCATCCGTGGGTCGAGGGGGAAGAGGTGGGGAGAAACAGAACAACAAAAAGAGGGAACTTGAGTTCCTGCTGGTTACTAATCAAGTTTACTCCGCTCGGGATGAACGCACGATTGTTCAGGCATCCCAGGGCCTGTATTCCGAGCGCCGTCGGAATGAAAGGAGTGAACGAATCCAATCAGTAGGGTTCATAGCCTCCACCTCGCTCCTCCAAATTAGCTATTAAACTGCTTCCACTCTCTTCTTTTCTATGCTTATTATCTTAATCACCTGGCTACCGATCTTACTTGTCGTTAGTCACCCAGATCCTATCTTCCATCAGTGCCAAACATAGCGACGCCTGTTGTTGCCTGCCAGACTCGTCATGAGCACGTCAGACGATATCGAAAGACAGACAGTGGTCACATCCAACGAAATTAAGGGGGTGCCAAAACAATGTCAATTGGCAGCAAGTGCGCATGATGAAGAAAATCTGCTTCCAGTGGTAGACGACGTACCCTTCCCGGTATGGCTGCTCGCGTTCGTCGGAGCCGCTGAGCGCTTCGTCTGGTATGGAGCGACCAGCCCTTTACGTGAGTCTTTCTGTCAATCGACCCGTGGCCGGGCAAAGGATTCTGATATTTTAGCAGAGAATTACATCCAGCATACTCCCTCTAGCAAGATTCCCGGCGTACTCGGCCTGCGCGAAGCGGCGGCGACCAATATTGTGAACGCCATGATGGCTGGGGGTTATTTCGCAACCATCCCAGCAGCGGTGGTGGCCGACACCTGGCTGGGTCGGTACAGAACAATTCTAGTGTCCGCTCTGTATGGTCCGGGGTGGATTGTTCCATCCTCGTCAAGCTAATGTTCAGACAGCATCCAACTCTGTGGCTCGGCGATTTTGTTCGCGACGTCCTTTCCCCGCGCTGTTCAAGCCGGTGCCGCGGAGAGTGGGTTCGCTACTGCGATTATGCTCATCGCTCTGGGCTCGGGAGGCGTGCGATCCTCCGTCGCTCCATTTATCGGTATGTCTCAAGATGGAAGCACCGATTGCTTGAAGTTAATTCGAGCTGACAGTCCATAGCGGAGCAGTATACCGAAACAACTCCCAAGGTCAAGACGCTAAAGAGCGGAAGAAAGGTTATCACGGATCGAGAGCTCACAATCCAATACATCTACAATGTATACTATTGGTATTCCCCCTGCCTTGCTTCAACATCGAGGCGCTGTTGACACCTTGGGGACTAGGATGGTGAATGTCGGTGGACTATCGGCCCTAATCACCACGGTCCTGGAGAAGTATGTTGGATACTGGGTCGCATATTTGGTTCCCTTGTGCATGATGGCACTGTCAATTGTACCGTTGCTGGCGTGGCGACATACTTTTGGTAAGTGACACCTCACACCGACGCTAGAGATATAGATACCAACCGTTCTCACGATCAGTCCGGCGCCCAGCGAGTGGCTCCGTACTACCACAAGCCGGCAGAGCAATGGTGTATGGAATTCGCGAAGGGTTCCAGATGGATGAGGCCAAACCACAGAAGCAACAAGAGAAGCACCAGCGACAGGTGCCCTGGACCGATACATTCATTGACGAGTTGAAAAGCGGATTGCTCGCTTGCCGTGTTTTGTATGCCTCCCAGCGTTAGGTATCGATTCAAATGCATGGACAACTGACATGATACCGTCCTCCAGTCTCCTCTTCCCCATTCATTGGTTGTGCCTGAATCAAACCTTCAATAACCTGATCTCCCAGGCCGGACAGATGGTCAACTCTGGGGTTCCGAACGACACCATCAAGTCGCTCAACCCCATCTCTAGCATTGTACTGACACCGGTGGTCTCGCGGGGCCTATACCCATTCTTGACCCGGCGCAGGATCCGATTCGGTCCCATGGCCCGCATTCTCGTGGGATTTCTATTTCTCACCCTCGCTATGGTCTACACCGCGATACTACAGAAATTAGTCTATTCCACGGGTCCATGTTATGATCAGCCCCTGGCGTGCCCGGAGTCGGACCATGGCCACATTCCCAATCAGATCTCGATGTTCCTGCAAACGCCGATCTACGTTCTCGGTGCGATTGCGGAAATATTCTGTTTCACCACGGGGACAGAATATGCCTACAATCAAGCCCCGAAGACAATGAGATCGGTGGTTCAGTCAGTGTGGATGGCCACGGCTGGCGTTGGGGCGTGCCTGGCGATGGCGTTTACGCCCATCACCAAGGACCCTTATCTGGTCATCCTGTATTCGGCGTTGGCGGGCGTCATGGCCGTGACAACGGTTTTGTTCGGGATATTCCTTGGAAAGCATGATCGGAGGAAGACCCTCCTCCCGTGAGTTGGGTTATTGGGCGGTCTGGCAAATGTGTTAGGGAACAGGGGAAGAGTTTCACATTACGGTAGGTAGTAGAGGTGCACAACCTACACCCGCCCCTCCCCCACCCCAGCCCTAACAACCTGCATCCCCGCCCCAACCTGTCTCGGTGTCTACCGTAAGTCTAAGTCTTCCCCGCACGCGAGTTACGCTGACAAGGTATACGGGAGTAGAGGACTGCACCTTTGGCTCGGGGCTAACCTGCTGCTCCGGGTACTGCGCCGCGACCAAATGCCGGCCCACGAATCCAAAGTGGCCGGCCTGTGCCGAGGATTTCCAGTTGTGTGAGGCGGATGCGGACTGTTGCTATAGTAGTAATAAGTGTGTGGTTTGTCGGAAGGTGTGATCAATTGTGCCTCTGGCATTCTACGTTATGATTATGCTTACGGTGGTATGATTATGAGAAGTAGAAGAATGACTGATGTATCAGATTGAATGCTATTTACGCTTTATAAAAGCCACCCCACATTGTCTGTGTATCTGGCTCTGTCTGGCCTGGCAGGTAGTCGCCATCCCACATTGTCTGTGTATCTGGCTCTGTTTGTCCTGGCAGGTAGTTGCCATCCCACATTGTCTGCGTCTCTGGCTCCGTCTGTCCTGGCTGATAGTTGCCGTCCCACATTGTCTGTCCCTCGGGTTGTCCCCAGGTCTGTCCCTCAGGTTGTCCCCAGGTCTGTCCCCCGGT